GAACTGTTTTTATTCATTCTGGTGCCTGGGTTAGGTAAAGTTTTAAAATAATACAGCAGGAATAGTAATATAGTAGGAATAGTATATAAATAAAACTAAAGTTAATCCAATAAATTAATACCTAAAGAGTTAGCATGAATAAGTCTCAAGATATCATCATGGAGCTAGAAGAAGGAATAAAAGAGAAACTATTCACCGTCAGAGTGTATAGAGGCTGCCCGCAACTTAAAGACAAAGCCATTCAAAGCCTGGCTGGAGTAAGCTTTCTGATTCAGGAGCTCGAGAAAAATTTTAATCAAGTCATCCAGCAGCAAAATCACCACATTGACTCCCTCCAGCAACCTGATAGAAATAACCAGGATTCTGGGACTTTAAGTCCCACATGCCACCCCACCCATACCTCCCCTTAAAAATAAGTTATATTTATGTGTGTCCAGCGTGATTGTAGTGCCATCTATTTAAAAAAACAACTAACCTAGAGGTTCTCAAGGTAGGCATTAATTATTAAGTAATTATAGATAGTTCACATTGGTTGGTTTTCATCCAGGCACCAGCACTCAGAAACATTTTTGCATTTAATAACCAAAGTTTTCCTGCTTACTTGCACTCACGTCTGTACCAACAAACACTTTACACACCTCTCTGTTGATTTGTTGCGTCTGGTTTCTAGCCCAATTCCTAATAGGTGTCTTTTGATTTTTTTTTTAGCAGCAGACGGCATATATTTACTTCTTTTGCTGTTTAAGGCATTAATTCTCTTCAAATTCGCTTCAAAGAACTTTCTATTTGGTGCAAAAGGAAAAAAAATGTATTTTGCGCCCTCTTTTGGTCGGTGTTATTCTATCCTAAATACATTAGCATAAGACTAGTAAAATGTTCTGCAGGGATATATTATTTCTCTGCTATTTTCATTGAACTGTTTCTCTCCTATCAAAATCATCAACCAACAATATCGGCATGTTTCTCTTAACACCTTTGCAGCACCCTTGCTCTGCAGGCAACTCTCCCTTAAATAGTATGTACTTTTGCTCCTTCTTCACATTACACATTAGAATACATTTTACATTTCTCATTCCTAGTTCTTGGCCTCTTGGTGTTCTCAGAGCGGGAAGAGGCCTTAGAAAAAATATTTCGGGTAAGTACATAAAATTTTTAATAGAAACTTTTATATATACTCGTTTACAATGTTATATTTTCTAGCTGAAGAATCAATAAAAAAAATGGAAAAACTTGAAAGATAGATACACAAAGTTAAAAAACAATATAAATAAGTCGAAAAGAAGTGGTGCAGCTACTTCAGAAATTTACAAAACAAATTGGAAGTATTTCGACTTATTAGATAATATGCTAAGAGGCGGATTGAGAAATGAACACTTAAAGTAAGAAAGTATTAACAAGTTAACACCATTTTAATATATTTTGTTTTCATTAAAACTAAATATTGTTCATCTTGTAGCACGTGCACGAATATACCAGAAATCATGCCTCAATGAGAATGTGAATTAATGGTAATGTATTATGAATATATATATATTTTTTAACTTTAGTGTTTGTTGTCCACATAAAAGCTAAATTATAAGAAATACTGAGATTTCTAGCTTAAGGTTAAGTTGCTGATAAAATGATGTAGAAGTTCTTTTTGTTTGTCAATAGTACAAAGACAATTCCAACAACTTAAAGACAATGCATATGATTCTTTATAAATTGTACACATCATAATGATATTGAATAAGTTGCGGTGATCAAATGTTTACATGTAATTGTAGCTATAAAAATAAAAAATGTATGCTAAACGTCTCACTTAATACAATTTTCAAGTTACTAATATCTGATTGAATTTTAATTCATGTGTATGTAATTTTTCTAATTTTTATTTTAGAATTCTGATTTGGAAGACGAATCAATCAATCAATTACCAGAATTTCTCACAAAGAATAGGTATTTTTATATTATATATAAGTTGTAAAGATTACAAACCTAATCAAAGTGTTATTTCACTATGTCCTTAAATATATTATTAATAAATTACATATATTTAATATTTTTAGCATGCCTGAATTAACAGGACCAAGCACAAGTACAAATGTATTGCCACTACCATTTGTACATAGTCCACTTCAGTCCTCTCAAAGGTTATACACATATAGTTCCATAATTGTAATTTTTTAATTTTTTTAATATTTGAAATATTCTCGAAAATGTTCGTTTTTATTTCATAATTTAGGAAAAGAAAAAGAAATGATGATGATGATGATCTTGCAGAGATCATAAAAGAAACTTCTAGTGGCATAAAAAAAATATATAGAAGAAAGTGAAAGTAACCACGATGAAGTATTTTATTTCGTCAACAATACTGGTATTGGTGTGAGACTAAAAAAATTTGATAGGAAAAAAAATGCTTTCAATAATGAATAAAATTGAAAATCTTGTTTTTGAAGAAGAAATGAAACTATAATTTTATATTGTATTNAGCCATGTAATCTTTCTATAGATGTAAAATTATTTTAATCTGATTTTTATATCATCTACTTAATGATTGTAAAAGTTAGCTATATAATCTGGTTGTAATAGATAATAAATTTTTAAAAGAATCTGTGATGGTTGAGTATAAAAACTACAGAATCGATAATTGAACCTGTCTCATAATTCGTGCCACAATAATTCTCAAGATCATAAAAACTCACGTGAAGATTAATTAAATATATGGTTCAGATGACATAAAAGAACCAAAATGTAAAACCTAAAAAATACTCAATTTTTGCAATTTGATTCAGTTGCAAAACTACAATAGCATTAAATATATGATCCAAAAGAAAAGAAACTGGTGAAAGCTCAGAAACCAACAAAAACAATAAATTTAGTTGACAGCTATGATCGCATTAAATTATATGAACATTTTTAACTCGATAAACGTTAAATTGGTTCGATTGGTTGTAACGATTGGTCAAATTTTATATAATTATTATTACAGATAACATCCTATTTGCAGTTATAAAATGCAAAATTATTTAGATATATAATCTTAAAATTTCTATATAGCAAATATCTTATATGAAAATCAAAATATACAATTATCAAAACCAACTCATTTTATCACATATTAAAAATTTTATTTAAAATTAATATACATTTTATAACAGAAAATTTAATTTATGAAAGTATTCTGCCAGGGCAGTGCTCCATCATTTACAAAATATTCTGTTAAATATTTTCTAATGTCATTAATGACTTTTGAGAGTAATGGTTTGCACCAAGTCTATTGATCTTACCAAGCACATTACTTCCTTCATTTTCACTTCTCCATTGGCCTGATACAACTCTACCTTGCCAATCTTCTGTATCGGTTAATCACCCCAAGCTAACCTGGAAGCCACACACCCACTATATCTACAACAAAGCAATCAAAGCCAGTCACTCGCTCAGAAGCATCGCACGTAACCTCTGGGGACTAGACAGTAGGACCAGTAACCTCATCTACAAGGGTGCCATAGAGCCAATGTTAACCTACGGGTGTGAGGTCTGGGGCTACTCAGCCCAAAAAATACACATCAGACGCAAACTGCTTTCTGCCCAAAGGCAAGCTCTAATTGCAATCACTAAGGCTTATAGAACTGCCCCTACGAACGCCCTCCAAGTGATTGCTGGCCTAACTCCGATCCACCTTCAAATTCTTCAACGGTACGTCAATAACCTGATAATCAAATATCAAGCAAAAGAGCTCTCAACAACGCAGCTCCATAATATAATCAACAGGCTAAACCTGCCAAACGACATCCAGAATCTCATCAGGGACGTGGACGACTATGGTATCGATATAAACAACAGTAACGAACTTACCCACCCATCGGAAACCACAACCATGATCATTCACGACATTCAGGACGGTCCCCCCAAGGGAAAGAACTTCTACACAGACGGTTCCAAAACTGCCAACTCTGTAGGAGCCGCTGTCTACTTCACGGATACCCTCACCCCCAGCCACTGGCAAGCCGTCGCAAGGCTAAGGGATCACTGCTCAATTAAACAAGCAGAATCCCTGGCCATCCTCCGTGCACTACAACACATAAACGATCATCCCCAAAGGTTTCAACACGGGAAAGTAAACATCATCAGCGACAGCAGGATTGCCCTGTAGCAAGTTAAAAACGAAAACCACAAGCTCCCAATTGTCAATGACAGCCTCAAGATTCTAAAACATTTAAGGGATAACAATATACAAATCTACTTCCACTGGGTCAAGGGCAACTCAGACACTAACGGAAATGACCAGGCTGATGACCTGGCCAGAAAAGCTGCTAACATTACTTCAAAAATCCACTATCAGGCCCTACCACTCACAGCTGTTCTCAGCTCTCTCCGTTCCATTATAATTAACAAATGGCAAAATGAGTGGGACAACAGCACCACGGGTCGCTACAGGTACGCCTTCATCCCCAACATCAACCAAAGGCTGAACAATCACGTCTGCCATACCAACTGTGAAAGTAGCCAAGGTTACGGAGTAACACTTACAGGCACTAGTCAGTAAGACCAGCTTTCAGTCGTCCAAAGAACGGCCTTTCCCTGTCTTAGGGAAACGAGTGTGGAGGGCTTTACGGTTATATTATTATATTATTTTAATATCGAAGCAGGTGAAAGTGATTTCACCTTCTTCCTTCTGTCAGGTTCCCGACACCAGTTTGTCAATTTATACCTGCGCGGACAAACACGCGTACGCGATCTGATTCGGAAATGAATCGAGGAGACATACTTATATAAACAAAAGTAAAATTTAATAAAACTAAACAATGAATACAAATGGTCAACAACAATTAAACGACAAGCTGACGGTTACAACTATACTTATGCTAATGTGCGTTCGAGAGAGAGAGCTCACAAGATTATTATAAACATACGACCTGTTAGTTGTCGTCTTCGTTTCTGTAGATATAGGTCACCTTGTAGATAGGATTCATGCTTCTATTGTACGGGAGATTAATTCTTGCACAAAATACAAAATTATCACTTCTTCTAAGTGTAGACTCGGGACTTTGTCTATCGGGCTCCGTTATGGGCGTTGGCCATCAGGAGGAAACGTATGTGGAGTCTGGACACTTTCAAATCGGTCGGAGAACTCCCGCTGAACGTATGTGGAGTCTGGACACTTTCAAATCGGTCGGAGAACTCCCCGAAAAATGACTAATTTCTCTTTTTATTCCAAAATTTCGTCCAATCATAGTCCAGTATCTCTTCGTGAGAACCGGCGAAAAGGGGGACGAAAGAGGGGTAGTCATTTCCCATCTGAGCGAGATTTTTAACGGATATGTAAAAACAACGGATGTTCTCCTTGATGAAAAGGAAATAACATTTGTCATCTAGTTTTTCCCACGTCTAAAACTCTATTTTTCTCACCAAAAACGAAGTATTATTTGGTGACATTATTTAAGCATATTTAATAAAAATTATTAAATGAGGCCTAGGGCCTTCTGGATCTCACACAACCATGGCCTGGCCCAGATGCTCACAGCACATGAAAACTTCAGGACATACCTCAACAGGTTCCACAACAAGGGTAATGCCAAATGCAACTGCGGGATCCCAGAAGACGAAGACCCAATCCACATCACCTTCACCTGTCCGAACTACAACTCTCAGAGGAGACCATTTCGCAATAAAGCAGACTCTGAAGGACTTCTTTGGCCATGCCAACTGAAAGACCTTGTTAACAACAACAAACTCTTCAAAGCCTTCAAGACCTTCATTTCCAACACCAAATTAAGTATCTACTCCAACGTGGCAAGTAACACCAATTAACGGATCTTTCCCGGCCTACCAAGGCCGGTCTACCTCTCTCTACTCTAATTTCCTGCAGGTAACCCCATACTGTACCATATACCCCCACCCGCCAATTCAAACGGGTAACTGTTGTACTCTCATGTTTTGTCGGTCGAAATTGTAAAGCGCGAACCTCCTACTGCATGTAACCCTATATTTTTGTAATATTGTATTATTGTTTTGCTTCAAAAAACAAACCGGAGTAAGCGCTCACGTGACCCTCTCCTCTTTTCCCAACTTTCCCCAATCCTTCCCCCATCCTCACCCCTACTTCCTCCTCTCCCTCTCACCCTCTACTCTTCACCAAGGCAATACCTTTTGGTACGCTTTACTATTCAATCACTGTCACTATATCGGTTAATCCAACAGGACAATATTCATTTCTGGTTGGTCCTGTCAGCAAATAATTATGCAAGCATACTGTCACTTTTATAACATTGTCAATGTTCTCCTCACTTAGTTTAATTGGTCGCTATAAATTCTCTATCTACTACTTAAAATTCCAAACGAATTTTCAATCATTCGCCTGGCTCTAGAAAGACGGTAATTAAAAATTTTTTGTTTTCACATTAAATTTTTATTTTTTTCGTGGGTAAGGCCTCATAAGGTACGTTGTTAATGGAAAGACTTCATCAACCACAAAAAAGTAAGGGATTTCAACACCATTTGATAATCTCATAGGCTCCGGTAAGTGAAATCTGTTTTGGCATAAACCTTGGCCTAATCTCGACCTAGAAAAAATTCCCCCATCACTCTCACTACCATAGCTTCCGATGCCCACAAAGATAAACTGATAGTTTGCATTACAGGCTGCTAATAAAACTTTACCAAAGCTATTTTTATAATTAAAGTTTAAGCTTCCTGTGTTAAACGGACATTCTATAATAGCATGTTTCCCGTATAATAATAATTTCCCTAAGCAATGGGGAAATTGCCATTTTTGTTTCAAAACCAGAAGCAATATTTATCCATTTTTCTGGAGTTGTAAGAAAATGTACAAAATCTTCAGCTAATTCTTCCCGAATACACATGCAAGTTTCTTTTTACAATTTTCCCCACGGTTGATCTTCCCATTCTAAAGGAATAGGAAAAACTTCGAAACGTTTCTCCTGATGCCAAATATCTGTAATGAAATATGGGGGGGAGCTATAGTCGCTGATGCTGTTGGCGTGTTTTGAAGTGAAGTTGTACTTGTTGCGGCTAAGCTTTTGTGATTGCTTTTATTATGGATAAATTTGTTAAAATTGGGGAATGTACGGATCGGGATAGTGCCAAAGAAAAGGAAGCAGCCTTTGAGAAGAGCGCAAGGATATTAAGAACACCACCAGGTAAACGTTTGCTGTCCTGTTCCACGGGAAGTGCTGTTAAAGCGAGAGATACTAGAAAGAATTTGGACAACGTCGCGCATACCTGCTAGTTATATTATATAATAAATTAATAAAATAATTATAAAAATCTCTCAAATAGATAAATTATATCTCAAAGTTTAATTGATTCATTGTGGAGTTATAATTTATTTATATTTAGCATTGTTGGAATAAAGTTCACAACTACTTTATTTACGAAAAGAAATTTTTTTAAATAAGACGAACGCTTTCTTGTTTACCATAAAAATAGAGTAAAGGAATCAACCATCAGTTCTTTACCCCAAAATCGAAATTATTGATAATTAGATGATTCAATCATCCTTACGAAACAGTTTAAACATGGCATCTGTGCTTTTCAATGAAAATATTTTTAGCAGTGGCGGCGCGCGACTGCAGGACAAGAATGTTCCTTACAGAGTCACCATATTAGCTCCTTAGTTCCCTGGCCACGCCATAGTTTCCTGCTCTGTACTGCACAGTACATAACAGAAGAAAAGTAATATTATGTAAATACAAGATTAAGTAGCCGAAGTTTAAACTATTATGTAAATTCATATTGTTATATGATTATAATAATAATAATGAAAACTGTTTGTTTTCCAGTCTAAAGCTAGGCTTTCCGGTCCGAAAAATGCATAATTTGTAATCAAAATAAATAAGAATAAAGTTGTCTTCCCATTAAAATATGTCCTGTTAAAATCGGTTATAAACGTGGCTCCGATTGCACGAGTATATCTTAATTAAAGAAAAGAATTTTTTTAAAGTTTTTTCAAAAATTTTAATTGATCCGGAGATTTAAAAACGTTGCTAAAATGATATTTTAGGAATATGATAATTCTAAATCGCGTTTAAATTTGAATTTAAAAATTCGATTGCCGCAGAACGGAATCTTTTCTTTAAATATCGTTCGAAACGTCGAATTCCGTCATTCTGTTTCTGCTGCAAACAAGATAAGCATCGCTATGAACGATCGTAAGGAAAAGAAAGCCCCGGAAAAAAAGCCCGAGTCGAGGGAACTGACTCCTTCGGACATACACATGCTTCGGGTATTTAAGAATGAGACAAAAAAAAATCTTCGACGCAGAAAAAAAAATCGTCGACTCGAAAAACAAGATAGACGACGCCAAGAGAAAAATCCTGGAGGCTAAAAGAAAAATAAAGAAGATCGTTATAAAAAAGAACATAGAAAGCAAGGTAATTGAAACACCGGGGATGCAAAAAAAATTAAAACGTAAGAGAAGATCGAAATTGAAAAGAACGAGCAGTAGTAAGAAAAGAAGCAGGAAGGAAAGTAAACGACCTCGTAGAAGGGCTAGTGGCAGCGGAGAGTAGCAGGGCGTCGATACAACGAGAAAAGGAAGCAGAATAGCTAGATTCCTGTAGTCTAGCAAACAAACGGCTCTTTTCAGAGCCATTTTTTATTGGTGAAGAGTAGTGAAATCGATTCTAATAAACAAGGCTTAATGTCGTAGATTCGGTTTGATTTTAAATTTTGAAGCGTTTCGAACGTCGTTTAGAGTGAAATTTGACTTTTCGATTATTTATTAATTGAATTTTTACTAATTAAAATTGTCTTTTGGATATATTTAAGATGTTTTTTGCGTTTATATAAACATACGAATTATGTTTATTAAAGATTTAATAAGTGTACGTTGTTTAGAGAAGTGAAGGATCGAAAACAGAAGAAATTTCGCACTAAATAAATATTTATGAAATAGCACCTATTGTTTTCTTTAAGGTTTTTATTTGTCGGAATAATATTAACATATTGATAGGCCAGTCTATGAAAAATTACGGGTCACGAGTCCGGAAATCATAAATGCTTAGTGTGTGTAGAAATTTAACAAAAGCCGAATTATGTTTTTGCCCTAAGGTCCTTTATGTTTTATCCTGGTAATATCGATATAAGCTTTTGTATTAATGAAAATAATTAGTTCCGAATTCGATACTCCTTCAACGTTACATTAAAACACAGACGTTATTAGTTATATTTTTAATTTACATACTAATATAAAATTTTTAAAATTTAATTAATAGCGCTTTAAAGAAGAAAGCATCAACTTATGAACATTTTATGGTCTGTGTTTTAATACAGTATATTGCTTTTCATGACAGAAAAGCATTAGAATAAAAATAGTTAGAATAATTATCTACACTATTCGAAATAATTTACGTGAAATTATATTACAAGAAGCTATATTATGTCTTTTAAAATATATTTAATTAATATCCAAATCTATATAATTGATAGAAATCAATGTTTAATTAATATAATGCATATATTATATTAATATAATTACAAATTGATGTATGTAATTTATAGTATTATCTAATTAAAATGTAATTTAGTATGTAAAAAATTAAAATATTTACGAAATAATATAACTTGATATGCAACTCGATATATCACGTTTTACTTAATGTAAGTTGACTTGATATTTTCATAAACACTTCTTAGAATTGAATAAAATATTTTGAACCTTATCTAAAATAAATATGGGCTATTTTTATTAAAATCTGATATTAGAAAGAGCACTTATAAATACTTAAATGTTCAACAATTATAACATCAATAAACAAATAAAAAAATTAATTTACGAGTTGCGTGAGGTAGTGATAACCCTGTATACCAGTCGACCTCCCTATAACACTGTTGATAATTCCGTTTTATATGAATTCCATGTTGTACGAGTCACTTAGATTTTACAAATACGTGTGCCGGGCTGTGAACGGCTCACGTATTTGTAAAATCTAAGTGACTCGTACAACATGGAATTCATATAAAATGGAATCATCAACAGTGTTATAGGGGGGTCGACTGTACCTGCAATGAAGTTTCTAAGGAAAGCGATTACGAGCATGCTGAATCGATAGTGCTGATTGTCTTTATTTATTATGTATTCAGTCTGCTGTACTGAAAAAATGGTTATGAGGCCTGCGCTTTTCATTCTTTTAGTTACGTGGCCGGTTGTGAAACACGTTTGATGACTCATGGTACAAATTGTGTGTTGGTGTCTTTGCTTTGATGTTTGTTCTGTTTACGTTTATTATTACTTCTACTTTCTCATTTTTGTATTATATTATTGAGGTAACCATTTAGGTTAACTTTCTCTTTTAATTTTTTTTAATATACTAATGTTTATTCTGCTTTGTGCTTGTTCTATTTAACTATTGTTCTATTGGAATCATAATTTTTAACATTTCGAGTTACGCTTGGCTTTTTGTATGGTTTACATTCCAGCTTCTTGTTCTTTCATTTCATTACTATATCAAGATAGGTGAAGAGAGACTAGCAAAAGTACATTGACACGAATAAGACATTTATCCAGTTACACTATACTTCCACGAATCTTGTGTCATTCTATCTGCTTTACTACACCTTTTGCAATTACTTGCAATGAAAAGTGTTAAATCGTAAATGTGGCAATTATAGTAAGAAAATTCCTAACGTAGTGTGAGTTTTCTACGAAGCTGCTGTAGAGAGTACGGAAGATTTTGTGGCTACCACTCACACTACTGTAAGGAAATGATAGTATAACTTAAACGAACAGAGAAATAACACACCACTATCAACTGAATTCTCCTGCAGCCTGATGTGCCGAGTGCTGAAAA